TAAGAGAGGGGGAGGGGTAGATTGAATTTTCTATAAATAGCCCCTCCTAAAATACAAGAAAATGTTGGAAAATTAGAAAAATAAGGGGAGGTGCTGCCACTTTGTGTCCAGACCTTAGGAGACCGAATTTGAGAGGGTTTTGAGCAAGGAATCATTCAGTTCATAGCAAGAAAACATCAAGGTATGCTCAAGCCTTCCTATCTCTAAGTTTTAAGCTAGTTTTGGTTGGGTTTTTGGCATAAAAAATTAAGGGAAAATGTTGCACAAATTCGGTTGACATGCTTGGCTATTAGGGAAGGATAGAAACCTTAAACATGATATGAAACAAGCTTGTTTAAGTAGTGTATGAAGTGGTTTTTTTGAAGAAAATCAACTTAAGGCTATATATGTTCATTTCGGCCAAGGGGTGTTCTTGCGGGAGGAGTTTGTTTTGCATTGATTTGATGATTCCAATAGGTTTTAAATGTGTTTTTATGTAGAGATATACTATTGGGAAGTGTTTAAAATCATTGGAATCAAAAATGAAATTTTTGAAAGTTAGAACCCCCTATTCAGCCAACATGATTTCATGGGAAAGGAGTTTGATTTTTGAAAAAATGATTGGATATTTGGATTCCTCATGAAAAATTGTGTAGCATTGAGCCAAGAGATCATTGACTCTAAAGGAGGAACTATTTTGTTAAAAATCCAAGAAAAAGAGGGGAATGTTAAGTTAAAGATAAAGTGTTGTATTTAAGTTGTTTAGTTGTTAATGTAGCTTGTGTTTATACTTGAATTAATAGGCTTTGTGAGAAGGAATCAAGAAGAATCATAACCCCTTGAGGAGACCAAAATTATCAAGTGATAAAATGTAGCATTGAATTATAATTTGATTGTTTATTTTACTTGTTTAATGTCATTATGTTGTTTGCTTAGATTGAGAAATTTGTGTTGTGATCTTGGTTGATTGGATGGCTTTGGGTTATGCTTTGGCTAAATACATTGGATTATGTTATTGTAGAAGTGTTGGCGTTCCTCTCCTAGTATGATGTTAACTATGATTTTATGTGGTTTGATTATGCCTTGAGGTGTGGTAACATGTCACATTGTAACTTGTTTGATTTACATGATAATTATAATTCAATTGTTACTAAGATTTCTATGAAATCTCATTCCTTCTATATCAATTTATTTATCATTTAAAAAGTGGCTCATCCATGAATCAAGGCAACGGATTGGTATTGGGATAGAAGAGCATTATGAAAACTATATCACTATGTTATGTTATGTAATATTTTAATGAGTTTTATGTTAAGTTGTAATGAATTATGGATGATGATATAATATAAATTATATTGTTATGATATGCCCTCATGCTGGAATATGGAATGGTAGAATGCCTAAAGGCTATAGAAAAAGAAAAGGGAAAACAAAATTCAAGAAAAATGGGATTAGGTGATAAAATCTCCCTAAACAGTCCCAATCCTATGCAACATAAAATAATGAGTAAATGGTAGGATTAAATCCTTTCTCATATGATTTGCATGTTCTCATGATGTTAGGTTCTTTCTTTGGATGTACTTTCACAAGTGGATTTAGTTCTTCAAAACTTTGAATGTATGAATGTTAATAAGAGTTTTAAAATATCTATGATAGACTTTCTAAGTTATTGATGGCTTCTTTTCTATCATAGATTTCGTTTTTTAGAAATGAGTTGAGTCTTTTCTATTATAGTAGTTTCATTTAATTGTTTCTTCTTTTTTTTTCCCCTTACCATAGTAATGATTTAAAGAATTTTAAAATAAGCAAATCATTGGTTTTAGGAGGTAAACTTTATACACTCCATATTCGTAGAAGTGATTTTATTTAAGTGTACCAGCACTAAATTCACAACAAATTTACCCCATATACTATGAACAGAAAAATAAATTACCATAATCCTACATAATGAAAATAATTTACCGAAATACTATACTTAAACTCATTCACACTGGGAACGAGTTTAAAATTGTGAAGAACTTGTTTTTAGTAAAAATGAGTTTACTCCATCTCTCATCTCACTCCAATCACATCATTTGAGTAGATCTGACTCTCTTTTTTTTAAATAAAAAATTGATGTCATTCATAGCTGGAATGACTTCACCAGTGTGCTTCGTGGGAGTAAAGAGAGGAAAGAAAATGAAGACGAATGGGGGGGGGGGTGAAGGGGGTTTTAGATTAAAATGTAGGGGAGGTGCTGAATTATATTATCTCGTTGATTTTCTTAACTTCTTCAGATAATTATGGATGGCATATTAATTTTATAAAAAATTTAAAATTTTGAGCCATAAAATTAAATTTAGATTATCCTGAATTATTATTTATAAAACTATCATTAAAATGTGAAAAATAAATTTGAATTAGAAAAACACAGACATATATAAAATTCAATTTAAATTATGAAAATATTTTTTTTCTTAAAAGCCCATTTGCATCCAATGGTTTTGCTTTGGGAGGCAAATCTTCCAAAACCCATATTTTATTTTCATTCAAAAAAATCTATTTTAGTCTTAATTGCTTCTTTCTAAAACTTCATGTTTGGAGGAGAAATAGCTTCATAAAAGTTTTTAGGTTCATCTTGCACTAAAAATGTACAAAGTTCATCTCCAAAAAAATATCTTTTTTGTCTTTTACTTCTCCGTAAATTTCAGTCAAAACTTCATTTGAATTTTTTTTTTTATGAGAAGGAGGAGAACCTTTAACTCTGTTAAGAACATGCTCAACTTTCAAAGGAAAAATGTTTTCAAAAAAACTCTACATCATTAGTATCAATAATTATCTTTTGACAAAATCAAAAAACCATAAGTAGCACCTTGTTGAGTATAACTAATAAACATATCATCAATAGTTTTACAACTAACTTTTCTTTTCTTAAGATTAGGTAATAAAACTTTTATAAGACACCCCCACACTTTTAGATATTTTAGATTAGGTACAAAATCTTTTCACAATTTATAAGGTGTTTTATTAATTTTCCTATGGAGTATTCTATTTTGTAGAAAACAGGTAGATAATAAAGTTCTCATAAATTATCAAGTGCACCAAAACTCGTAAGCAAAGCATTTATAATTTCTTTTAAAGTGGTATTTTTCCTTTCTACAACTATATTAGACTCAGATAAATATGGAGATATTACGTCATGAATTATTCCCCCTCTTTTACAAAAATCATTCAATAATAAATATTCTTCTCCTCTATCAGACCTAGCTTGTTTAATTTTCCTATTCAATTGGTTTTCTACCTCTGCCTTGTACAAGGCAAATTTCTCAAAAGCTTCATCTTTTTTCCTTAATAAATACACTTTAGTATATCTAGAAAAATCATCAATGGAAGTAATATAGTATTTCTTACCATCTCTGGTTTCTATTTGTTTTAGATCTTCTGAATCAGTATGAATTAAAGATAACAACTCAGTTTTTCTTTGTATAGAAAAATATGACTTTTTAGTTAATTTAGTTTCTGTACAGACCTCACATTTGCTAATATCATTATTTTTTGTTTCAGAAATTAATCCAAAGTGTTGCAACCTTTTTATATATTTTCTATTAATATGCCCTAATCTAGCATGTCAAAAATGAAAAGAATGAATGAAATAAGTAGAAGACAATGCATTATTATTCATATCATCAACACTTAATAAAAAGAGGTCTTCCCCACAAAAACATTATTCTTTATCATCATAATCTTATCAAATTCAAATGACACTTTAACCTCAACTTTTCCTAATAAAGCCACAAAAATTAAATTCGCTCTAATATTAGACACATATAAAATATCATTCACCCTAGAGACTGTTTCTACACTGCTTTTTTCTTCCCCCTCCCCCGGGGGGAACTTTTGCTGTTTGGGAGTCAGCAAGGTAAACTTAATCTTCCTCATTAGGAGTTACTCGCACAAATGTGCCCTGGTGCACCTTTGACTAAACAGATGAAACATGGAGGGCTTGTAATGGTGAGGAAGTCAATACATAAATGAGGCTAAAAATTTTGAGAATTTAATATATTCCTCAGCTCAATATTTCAGTTTTGCATTTTAACACGTGCATTCTAATATTTCGAGACGTTTAAACTCTAATGTGGCTTTATTAGTCTTTAATTACACACACGTCAGATATTTACTAATTTAAGCATTCAATAAGAAATGTTTTATTGTTTTCAGTTTACCTCGCGTATATTTTTTGGGTGAAACCTCACTTATATTAAATACGCCCATACATTGCACTGAGTCATTGTTACTCAACTTGAGCGTCGACAAATAACAACATAGTTTAATAATAACATATCAAATAAATAAAATTAATTTAAATAAAACTTGTGAGCCTGACTCCTGGGCAAAAGCCATTTCAGGATAGAAGACAAGCAATCAATGAAAATAAAATTAATTGAAACATTTAAAATTTAAATTCACAAAAATAATTATTAATATAATAAAATTAATGGAGACAATTGTTTAAGATTTGAATTAAAAACATTTTTAATCCTGAGAGCTTTTTCAAATTGTGGGTTAATTCCTATAGCTTCATATATTTATGGTTTAAGTTTAATAATTTGGTAATCATCACCACACTTGAACATATTTTGCTTTTGATCCCTATATTTAAAGTCAAACTCGGCTCTAACACCACTTTGATACAGCGTCACAGCAATAGAGGGAGACGGGGAGAGAGAGAGAACTGAGTAAATTCCTATTGCACAGTGAGTACACGTGTCAGCCTTTATATACTTCTTGGCCTTGTTCAGTTAATTCCCTATATTAGACTCAGTTACACTAATCCACTTGCTATAATTGTGACGCGTGTGAGAATATAAAATGAATACATACATTACAAACCTCATGAAACTATATGAACCACAACCAATAATTTTAAAACTATAGGAAGCAAAACCAAAATCAAACGGGGACCAATAATGCTACTAACTATTCAGATTTTACAAGGATGCAGACAATAATACCCACATGAATGGTCCTATCTTTTCTCATACTATATTCATTATATTTTCTTACTTCCTATCAAATATAACATTCAAGGCAACAATCTTAACGCATAATCCGGTGAACAAATCAAGAAAAATAGAAAGGCATCTATTGTTCTAGAAACAAAATTTAACATTACGCTCTAAATAACAAGTATCCTATCAGAGTAATGAACCGACCAATCTGATGGCTTAGTACGTCATGTTTTCAAGAAGCTCTGATCAACTTAAAAGTACGAGACAAAAACATAATGCTCAACTCTTCTAAGAAAAGTTCATGCCAAATCCAAACAATTTGGAAAAATCACAAAACTCTCTGAAGATAATCTAGAAACGGAACCCTTCGATCATTTAGGTCAGTAGCAATTTGTGATGAAAGCGCCACTGCCAAGAGCTTATGCTTTCTTGCTTGTTGCCAATTGGGTCTCCGGCTACAAAAATCAACCATTCACAAACATTAGATGAACAAAGCCAGAAAGGAATCAACATCCAAAAGACAGATGATCAAAATCCATACCTCCTTCCTCACAGGCTCTTCTTTCTCAGATAGTATCAACTCTATGTGGCATGGAGATGACATGTAGGCTGCAAAAGCAGTCGTCAATCAATAAAAGCAAACAGCCCAAAAAAAAATTTTAAAATAAAATCTCAAAGGTTTAAACATACGGTTGATTCTTCCATGAGCTCGGTAGGTTCTGCGTCTTTGCTTTTGTGCTTGATTAACCTGGATGTGAGAAATGTAGAGAGCATCTACATCCAAGCCTTTCACCTGCAAAGATGCCATGAACAGGTAAATTGATAGGCAGATGATGGCATAAATTGGTTTTAAAAAGCATATTAACATGACATACTTCAGCATTACTTTCTGCATTCTTGAGCAAATCAAGAATGAATTTAGCTGACTTCACAGGCCATCGTCCTTGCCCATTGGAATGTCTGTTCTTCGCCTGGGCTGTCCTCCCAACACCACCGCAGAACCTTCTGAAGGGGATAGCCTGTTTGTGGGCTAGCACATCCTCCAAGTACCTTTTTGCCTTTGCCAAGGGCAACTTCCTGAGGGCAAACGCTGTCTCCCTAGTGTTCTGTAAAGTTATATGGCAAATACAATTTAGTGAATAGCAAATGACTAGTTTAAACTCCATCTTTCACTAAATTTATTTCAGATGAAGTAAAGGATTCACACAATAACAAATTGCACATAGCATTGATTGATACAAGGTTGAAGCATTAAAAATAAAAATAAACGGAATAAAGATTTATTTTGCAAGCAAATATTGTTATTGAGGCCAGCTATAAAAAAATAACACATTAGATGAGAAAAGTAATAATTCTACATACTAATGATTATGGCAACATAGAAGGGCCAGCTATAATTCTACATATTGTTATTAATGTCTTCAATAAAAAGACATCCTCAACTAACATGGCAACATAGAAGGGACTAATGGATGCATGCAACTATAAGACACGTTCCATCATTCACTGAACCTTCAGTGACAAAAATTACACAGAGGTTCACCCAATAACAATGGTGATTATGTACCTGAGGTTTACGAGTGATCTGCTCACATAGACAACAGATCCTGCTTTTTCCCATCAGGTTTTCTTATTTCTTCTCTAGTTTCTATCAGGGAAAATGACTTCAGTATCAACTCTCTCTCGGACTAAAAGCTAGAGTACTGCAGAAATATATGCAGCACGATTCCATTCAAATCACACGGCAAATTTTGACACTAACGAATTACTGCAATTCAAAAGAAAAATGTGTGTATTGCCGGCACTCTCGTAGCCTAGACATGTTAAACGGCATTCCATTTCTAACAAAATTAAAGATAGTTCAAACCATAAAGAAGACCAAACGTAATAGATATTAGTACCTTAAAGTGGACTCTAAGGTCGGAGCCTCTGGCCTTGCAGGCTGCACGCGTATGATAATCGCATATTAGATCCAAATAAACAAACCAAACCCAAAAGCTCAAAACCATAAAAGTTCGCAACCAGATTATGTGAAAAAATTGATCAATAACAATATAAAACGACCAAAGGCGTAGCTTTGCAATGATCTAATCGAAAAGTAGGAACAGAAGAGGATTCTACAATTTTATGGACTTGAGAGAGCAAAATTGTACTTACACTTGGTGGGATTGTCAGGTTCTCTGGAGTACTTCACCTAAGAAAAAGGAAAGGAACAAAATGAAAACCAATAGCGTGGAACGAACGAATGATTTCTTTGCAACTATCGAAATCGAAAAGATAAGCTGAAGGAAGAAGTTCACGTCTACCATGGCGGCTGGCTTATGCTGCTGCTTCTGCCCTAGCTTGAAGGCCGGAGAAGAAATAATTTCTCTCGCTCACAATTTATAAATGAAGAACAAAACACCCAACAACCCGGAGTACTGTAACCCAGGAACCCGCATAATAGGTTTGGACTTGGGCTTTAACCAGATCTGGCCCATTTATTGTGAGGCATGACAATGGGCCAAACCAAACTGCACGAGGCCCATTATACATTATTTATGTGTGATATCAAACACGTTTTTATTGTACTAACTAGATAACTAATTAGATAGATTAAAAAATTAATTAAATTAATTATTTATAAAATTGTGTATTAGCTTTTAAAATTATTCAGTTTTTTTTACCAGCATTTAAAATTATTCTATTTAATTATGCATATTGAATATTTCTTAATGATAACCTTTACCATCAATAAGAACATTATGAAAAAACCATTATAAACTTAGAAGACAAGATAAATTAAAATACTATATTTAAGATATAATTTAGCCATTTAGCTAACTCTAGAACCGGAAGTAATATTAATTAGCAAAATTTATTATTTATTAAATGCACATGCCATATCCTTTTAAGTCCCCAGACATGCGTGATTGATGTTAATTTGAGATCACGGAGCTGTCATATCCTCGGTGAAGAAAGCAACATATCGTCTTCGCCAAAAAAAGCCAAAAAGCACCATAACGTCTCTTCCGAAGTCTTCCACTTATTTGTCGAAGTTCAGGGATCTCCTTCTTCTCTCGAGATTCTTGGTCCTCATCTTCGTGTTCATCTCTCTCTCTCTCTCTCTTTCAGTTTTCAAACTTCTTTGTGATCCTTTCCTCTTCAGAGTTGCATTTTTCTTGGAGGCATTCTTGACCAGTGACATCTGCAAATCTTTGCGAAATACTTCAATCTATTCATATCGGAGCGATTTAGTCACCTGGTTGACGCTGGCCTAGTTGATACCATTTCTCAGAATTTTGAATTCTTTCGCTGTTGAGTCAGAAGCTGCCGTTCATTTACCTAAATCGGATCGCTTTCTACAAACACAGCAATGGTCAAAAACGGGGAAGAGCTAAGTTTTACGAAGGTTTCCATCACTGAGACCTAACTCGCTTTGAGTTCATTGCAAATAGCAATTGCAGGAAGACACAGACATATGAGCTTTTCCACATCAGAATGTTGGAATTTGATATGCAGAGTTAATAATTATTTAATATTAAATTTTAGGGTCACACTTTATTAATGTCTTTGGAAGATTCACCTCCAAATTTGCGTGAGTCATGGATGGTTTATTTCATGTGTAGAGGATTAAGAAGGGAATTTTTTATCCACCATAACATTTCATCAGGCAGGGAAAAAACATGTTTGGCAAAGTGGTTCTTTCTTCCATTTTCGTGCTCCTACTCATCGCCTCATATACAGTTTTCAAAGGTGACTTCAATATTCGATCTCATTTCGCCATGTCATTAAATTCTTCGTCTCCGGAGGTTGTATATGCACCTCCGCCTCTCCTGATCTACATGTACGATCTTCCTCGTCGATTCAATGTCGGGATGCTTGACAGGAATAATTCGGCGAAAACTCCGGTTACGGCCCAAGATTGGCCGCCGTATCCGGTGAATTCTGGGCTAAGGAAGCAACACAGCGTAGAGTACTGGATGATGGGTTCGCTTATCTATGATGGAGACAAAGACCAAACCGAAGCAATAAGGGTTTCGGATCCTGAACTTGCCGATGCCTTCTTTGTACCATTCTTTTCTTCATTAAGTAATAATTTACATGGGCATCAAATGAGTGGTCCAGCTACGGAGGCTGATCATAAATTGCAGGTATTATGGAGCTAAATTCGAAAATTTAATTAGTTATTTAAAGAGAAGCTTGAGCCACTTCTTTTAGCAAATTTGGTTCATTTATATTATCTCCTTTCTGTATTGATGTGGTTGTTTTTACCTCATAAATGTGTCTTCAGATTTGCTATTACGATATCTTCTTTTATGATTTGTTATTTCAAGGCACTGATTATGGTTTGTTACTGGTTTTAGAGTGATGTAGTTGAATTCTTGAGAAAATCTGAATATTGGCAAAGGTCAGGAGGTAGAGATCACATTATTCCTATGACACACCCAAATGCATTTAAGTTCCAGAGGAATCAGGTTAATGCGTCCATTCAGGTCGTTGTCGATTTTGGTCGCTTCCCCAAGCGTGTTTCTAATTTGAGGAAGGACGTGGTGACCCCATATGTACATGTTGTGGATACTTTCACTGATGATGATGAGTCAAAAGATCCATATCAGTCTCGCTCTACTCTGCTTTTCTTTCGAGGCGGAACAAAACGAAGGATGTAGGTTTTGGATAAGAGTTAGTTTAAAGAGCTCAGCAACTGTTTGTTCAAATGCTAACGAAAACAAACTGATTTTGTATGTTCTGGGATGTTGCAGGAAGGTACTATCCGTCTTAAATTAGCTAAAATACTAGCCAGTAATATGATGATGTTCGCTATGAGCAGGGTGTTGCTTCAATAGACAATATAAAGAGGTATGTAGAAGGGAGTTAAGATGTCTAATCATGATTATAATTTCAAGCATTTGCATTATATTTTCTTTGCCATGTAACCAAAAGTCATGTTAAACTAGATGGATCTTCTATATCACATTGACTAAAAGAATAACAAACTCATGACTTGTCAGCAATTTGTTGTATGCATGTATTATGGGGATATTATGATTTGGAACTTTCTGGGTAATCTAAACAGATAATTACTATCATTGCCGTAGACTTTTTTCTCTTATAGTTGATTTGTTGTTGCAACAGGCTACTAAGGACATGCGTTCATCAAAGTTCTGTTTGGATCCTGCAGGGGACACGCCATCGTCTTGTCGTCTGTTTGATGCAATCGTGAGTCATTGTGTTCCTGTGATAGTGAGTGATAAGATTGAACTGCCATTTGAGGATGAGATTGATTACATCAATTTCATTTTTTTTCTTGTTTTTCTCCTTAAGGGGCATTAGAGCCAGGCTACATGGTGGATCAGCTTCGTAAATTTCCAAAGGAGAAATGGCTAGAAAATGTGGAGGCAACTCAAGAACATTTCCCATTATTATGAATTCCATTACCCCCCAAAAAGGGAGGATGCTGTTAATATGCTTTGGAGACAGGTCAGGCATAAGCTTCCTGAGGTCAGACTTTCTGTTCATAGAAGCCGCAGATTAAAAATCCCTGATTGGTGGCGTCGCAGATTATTTTAATGAACATTGTCATGTTAGTAAGAGGGAATGAAAAGATCTAAATAAGAAGCATTTTTTTTTACCTAAAGAAAGAAATTCTCTAACGTTGATTTACAATCCACTCTACCACTACTAAAACTGATTCAACTAGGATCTTGTCATGTAAAATCTTTGAAAATGAATACATCTATCTTAATTTGCTGTTTGAGTTTCCCTGTTTCCTTGCCATTTGAGGAACACTTGTAATGTGATGTAAAGTTGGGAACGTGAATTAAAGATCAAAGATCATCTTTGGTCCAAGTATATGTGATTTTTGCCAGGGATGAGTTTCAACAACATTAATTAGTCATTCTAAA